GGAGATGGAGAAAGAGAAGGAGAAAGAGAAGGAGACAGAGAAGGAGATGGAGGACAGAGGAGATGGAGATGGAGAAGGAGATGGAGATGGAGATGGAGAAAGAGGAGATGGAGAAAGAGAAGGAGACGGAGAAGGAGAAGATGACAGAGAAGGAGGAGACTGAGAAGAAGAAGAAGGGGAAGGAGAAGGAGAAGGAGATGGAGAAGGAGAAGTTACATCAAAGCAGCAACAGACCATTGCAGGTATTCCTCAATGTACAACAGTTCACTTAGTAACCATTTGAAGTTACAACAGCACTGAAAAAAAACAACTTATGACCATTTTTCACACTTATGACCATTTTAGCATCACATGATCAAAATATAGATGCTTGGCAACTGATTGGTATTTAGGACAGTTTCAGCATCTCGGGGGCGGGGGGGGTAGGGTCATGTGATTCCTTTTTGTGACCATCTGACCAGCAAAGTCCACGGGGAAGCCCGATTCACTTAACGATCGTGTCCCTAAACTGAACGACTGCAAGTGATTCACTTCACAACGGTGGAGAGAAAAGTCGTAAAATGGAGCCAAGCCCCCCTCACCCCCCACCCCCAAATGAGTGTCTCACTTAGCCACAGAAATGTTGGGCTCCATCGTGGTCGTAAGTCAAGGACGGCCTGTATTGAAGGACCCCACGGGGCCGTCCTCTAACTTGAGTCGACATGACCGATGAGGTCAGAGTTTGGCCAAAGACTTTTAATTGGAATTTGCTCCTTTCAGCAACTTTAAGCGATTAATTTCACCTGAAGATGAATTTCAGCTCCTTCGCGCCCAAGCTGACAGGGAGCAGCAAACATTTTGCTTACCCCCTGGCATGTGAAAATATAATGTTTTATTAAGGGGCGGATGATCGGAGTGAGCCAGAGAGAAGAGATGAAAAGAAAAATCAATCTCTCCCTTTTATATTTTGATCCCAGAGACAGCAGCGATGACACACACTTAATTCCGATTGCTGTTAATTCGTGGGAGTTAATGCCCTGAACAATTACAGTTTGGTTTCTTGACAGGCAGGTCTTGCTGATCGAGGGGAGCGAAGGCTTTTTTGACGTCTTGGAGCAAATTTATTCGTGCATCAAGTTCTCAGAAGCCCATAAACTTGTCCGGAATGGGACAAACGCGCCACGGGGACAATTCAACCGGTCAATTTTAATTTAAAAAAACAAAAAGAACAATTCAAGGATTGTTTTAATTTTTTTTTGTCATTTGTCAGCGTTCCAACAAACAAACTCCAACCCAATCAACTCCGAGACAAGCATCCCCTCTTAAAAGTTCCGTTTTATGAAAGTTGTCATAATTGGCGTCACGTCTGGGAAAATTCCTAATCGGAGAGTCCCGGGTTTGCCCTTCCTCGAGAGAAATTCAAAGATCCATCCCCTGTACCCATCAATCCATCACATGACCCAGGGGTGGGCTTCAAAAATATTAGTAAAGAGTTCTCTGCCCGGTTGCTGGGTGGGTGTGGCCATGGTGGGCGTGGCCTAGTTGGCCTCCTGCACCACTGGAGGGGGGGCATTTTGGCCCTCCCCAGGCTCCAGAGGCTCCCTGGAAGTTGGAAATGGACCCATTTCCGGCCTTCCCAAACTTCGGGGAGGAGAGTGAGGCCAAACGATTTCCTTAATAGCCTTAACCTCCTATAATGCTTAAACTCATCTACACAACTACGATATTAATTCCAACAACACTACTGATCAAACCAAAAAACCTACTACAAACAACAACCGCCTATTCATTCATCTTAGCCTTACTTAGTCTTAACTTTTTAACACCTAAGTCCAACCTTTACTTATCTTTGGATAACATCTCAGCCCCCTTATTAGTCCTATCTTACTGACTTCTCCCAATAACAATTCTAGCCAGCCAATTTACACTGTCCAAAGAACCCATACAACGACAATGCACATTCCTAGCCACCATAATCCTCCTACAACTATTCATTGCATTAACATTTACAGCCTACACAATAACCCTAATATACCTAATATTTGAAGCCACGCTAATCCCAACCCTGGTCATCATCACACAATGAGGACAACAAGCCGAGTGTCTAACAGCAGGTACTTACTTCATACTATATACACTAACAACATCCATGCCCCTACTAATAGCTATCCTATTTCTCAACAATATCTCTAACACCCCAACCCTATTTATACATTGGGGGGTGGTTCTCCAAACTGTGCAGAATCTTAGCTGGGGGCTCTCCCCTGCAATTGGGACGGCCCAATCAAATGCCATCTCAACTGAGACATTCCTCCAGAAACTCCTCTCCAGGTGCAGAGTTACTTGTCCTTGACTTCTAAGAAAGAGTTGTCGTTGAGTCTAATCTTTTACTCACTAGGAAATCCCCCCTCTCAATTTCCCATGGCAGCCTTGAAGCTTCCGAGTAAAATGTGCCTTCCAAGGCTGACGTCATTCACATTTTATTCTGTCCCTCCTTGGGCCTCCTTTCTTTAATGATTCTATTCGACGGTTTCTTCGATATTAGTGTAATTCTCTTGTCCCGTGGTGAGTTGGCCATTGCGAGTTGGCTGTGGCAAGTTGGCCGCAGTGAGTTGACCATGGTGCGTTGGTCCACGGTGAGTTGGCCTTGGTGAATGAGCTGCTAATGAGTTAGTTGCAGTGTAAACACCAGATTTTTCCCCTTCAACCGATAAGAAGGAACTTCTGAAAGCTAGGTACTTCAAAAGGAATTCTTTATTGAAAGGAAGGGATCCAAGTACTAGCCAAAGCAGAATCTAAGATGCTTCCAGGCATACAGGAATAGATAAAGGGAGTTTGAACCCCTCCCCTTATTCTGATGTGGATTTAGTCAAACAAAGAACCAACATGTTAATTCCCCCCCTCCCCTTTTTGGGGAATGTATCTTGGAACAGTTTCCCAGGAAGTTTCTTTCAGAGCTGAAATTTTTTTATGGTCCCTTCTCCTCTTGCTATCTCTCCAAGAGGTGACAAGTTTCCAGACACCTGTCTCCAGTCCCCCAGTTGTATGTCACGTGCAAGTTATACAGATTCAATACAAGACTTAAGATATTCAGGTTACATCAAAAAGGATTACTTGTACCAACTTCCCCCCTCTTCTTCTTCCATTGAAGAATGGCAGATACA